CGCCCGCGGGGCTCGGCCCTGGCCCCCGCAGCTTCACTGCACCCATCCCCGGGCCCACTGAGGCCGCCTGTCCCTGGCCGGCGCGTGCAAGGGGAGCCCTGGGGACGGGCTGGCCCCGCGGGGCTGTGACACCTCTCTGCTTTGCAGCACCACCATGAGCGCGGGTTCGATTGAGCAGGAGCCGTCGCGCAAGCTGGCCTGCTGCGGGGTGCCCCTCATCACGGAGGACATGCAGTCGCTGGCCATCCGCACCCTCTCGGGCACCGACATCAACAAGCACTACGACCTCATCCGTGAGCTCGGCAAGGGCACCTACGGCAAGGTGGACCTGGTGTCCCACAAGAGCACAGGTGAGGCAAGGGGACGCGGCCGTGGCACACACAGAGCAGGGAGTGGGGCTTTGTGCACCCTTGTTGCATGCAGAGGGATTGAACGAGTGCTGTGTTTACTGCTCCACAGTTTGGCAGAGTGACTGAGCACTGGATCAGGTTGCCCAGGAAGGTTGTGGAATCTCCTTCCTTGGAGATATCCTAAGGCCAGCTGGGCAACGTGCTCTAGGTGACCCTAGGTGACCCGGTGGGGTAGGACTAGATGGTTCCAGAGGCCACCGCCAGCCTCGCCTGGGTTTGCTGTGATTTTGTGAGCTATGTGTCAGCTCTCGTCTCAATGGGTGTCCAGGGCAGGTGTCTTCATCTTTCGGTGCTGCCCTGGGCAGAGCCTGGGTGCTGACACCCATGCTGGCCCTCTGCCCACTGCAGGCACCAAGATGGCCTTGAAGTTTGTGAACAAGAGCAAGACAAAGCTGAAGAACTTCCTGCGCGAGTTCAGCATCACCAACACGCTCTCCTCCAGCCCCTTCATCATCAAAGTCTTCGACGTGGTCTTCGAGACGGAGGACTGCTACGTCTTTGCTCAGGAGTACGCCCCCGGTGGGGACCTCTTCGACATCATCCCGCCTCAGGTGGGAGCCTCCTGCTCGAGGCATTCCGGTGTCCCTGGGTGGGCCCCAGGATTCGGTATCCCCACGGTGCAGAGCTCTGCGAGGTGCCAAGCCGGGCAAGGGGTAAAGGCTCCCTCCAAGGCTACTGTGGTGCTGCCAGGAGCCTTTGCAGGAGGAGGTGCATCCCTTGCATGGTCAGCCCTGACTGGGGCTCCAGCACCCAGAGACAGGCCCAGGACCCATAACCACGTCACCTGGCAGCTTAGCCCCACTGCAGGGCGTGGTGGGGTATTTCTGGTCAGGAGTCCCTCCTTCCCTTGAGACAGAAGGGGCTAGGAAAGAGGTGACAGGCTGGAAAATTGAACAAGGGAAAAAGAAATCATACGCAGCAAGGAGGAGAGACACAGAGAGAACACCCCAAAGAAAATCAGACCTAATTGAATTGGAAGGCTAATGAAATCTTAATGCAAAGGGAATGAAAGGAAATAAGATTATTCAGTGACAGCTGGCAGGGTGGCACAGGGGCAGAAGGGCTCAGAGCGTGGGACGCCGGTGGCACGGGGGCGCAGGCCCCCCAGCCCCATGGCGCGCTGCCTGCCCTGTACGGCTCCGACCCCGCTGGGGGAACGTGGTCCCCGCTCACGGCCTGTCCCTGCCTGGGGGAAGCAACTGCTCAGGGAGCTGGAGAGAGAAATGGGGGTTAGAGAGAGCTCCGAGGCGGCTCCCCAGCTCCTCCTGCCCAGAGCCGAGGGCCCGTGGCCTTGCTGGGCGCCGGGGGATGGTGGCAGCAGGGTGGCTGCTCACGCTGTCCTGTCCCGCGCCCGCAGGTGGGGCTCCCCGAGGACATGGTGAAACGGTGCGTGCAGCAGCTGGGCCTAGCCCTGGACTACATGCACAGCAAGAACCTCGTGCACCGCGACATCAAGCCCGAGAACGTGCTGCTCTTCGACCGCGACTGCCGCCGCGTCAAACTGGCCGACTTTGGCATGACCCGCAAGGTGGGCTGCCGGGTCAAGCGCATCAGCGGCACCATCCCCTACACGGCGCCCGAGGTGTGCCAAGCCGGCCGCGCGGAGGGCTTCACCGTGGACACCAGCATTGACGTGTGGGCTTTCGGGGTGCTCATCTTCTGCGTCCTCACCGGCAACTTCCCCTGGGAGGCGGCCTCGGCCTCAGACACCTTCTTTGAGGAGTTTGTGCGGTGGCAGAAGGGGCGCCTGGCGGGCCTGCCCTCGCAGTGGCGCCGCTTCACGGACAGCGCCCTGCGCATGTTCCAGCGCCTGCTGGCGCT